CGCGACCTAAATCCCACAACCACTCGGCTGTCGCAATTCCCCCGGGATCCGCCCTGGGGCGGAGCCGACGCAGCAGGCTGCGAAAGACCAGGCGGAGGGAGCGGAGTGGTTATCCGGTTCCGCGTTTTGTCTCCGTTCCTCCCCCCGCAGTGCGTTCGCATCCTATTAGACTACGTCACCGGGCCTCGGGCCAATGGATGGGCAGGACAACACGGCATGGAGCTGCTCCACATGGACACCCCGCGCCGCCAGCCTTCTTTTTAAAGGGCCAGCATCTGCAGGGTCACATTAGTTGGTTCGGATGGGGCCACTGGGTGAACGGAGGATGGAACACCTAAAGGGGAATCCCGCAGTCTTGCTGTAGCCAGCCTTCTTCTCTTCAGTCACCACTCTCCCATTTAAATCCACGTCTTTCTCTTTCCTACCCCTAAATTCTTGTCTTTGTTCACGCATATCTGATAATGGGTGGAGACTCTGACCAGCACAGAAGCCACCCTTTGCTCTGGGGCCGGGGCAGCAGTGGTCAAGGCGAACCGTCCCTAGCCCTGGCTAAGGGGGCGTGGCCCAAATCGGGAACAACAACGTGAAGGGCGGAAGCCGGGTCCTCCCGGGAAGCTAGGCGACAAGGGCTGCGGGCGGGGCCGCTGCGTCTGACTGTAACCACGCTCTCCCTGGAGCACGCCCTCCCGCCTCTTCCTGGCGCTGGTGTTCAGGGACAGGCGCACAACCAGAAAGTTAGACCTTTGAGGTCAGCCTGCCCAGATCCTTTTACTTTGCTTATAAGGAAACTGAAGCTCAGAGACAGGAAGGGACTTGTCTAAGATCATTCAGTATTCCTGCTGCTCTTTGCCCCATGAAGAGGAGCATTTTATCTCTGACCCCAGGGCGACTCTTTGATGTTAGTTCTGAGGCAGATCCCCCAAATGGAAGAAATCCGAGGAGGTACATCAAACTGCCCCGTCAGGAAGGGGTCTATTTCACACATTGTGATTTGGGGCAACAAAAACTGCCTGAAACCCAACCCTGCTGTTTTGCTTCTTTGCTGGAAGCTACACCATCACCACTGGTAACGTTGGCAGTGACGGATACAGGCCGGTGGAGAGCATATTTGGGGCACCCTGGGGCATATCCAGCTTTGCTGCCACAACCCTAGCCACTGGATCCCTATTACAGCCACAGGCTCTTTGGGTTAACCCTGAAAATGCGGCGAGGTAATGTTTTCTGGATCCTGCAATCTGGGCTTCACCATTATACAATGCTAAAACAATCCCTCATGAAGATGGCTGAGGCAGGCCATCCTGCCACTTCATCCCCATCCACACAGTACCCCCGGAGGTGTACATGTCCATTTCAGGGACTGGCTGGAGAAGAGCCAGAAGCTAGAAAACCCGTATGAACGGATGCTTGCTGGCTTTGCTGCTTTTCTTTGAGGGAATCATAGTGCATCCTAGGCAAAGAAAACTGGCACACAAGATCTTGGAAGTAAAAAACCTCACACACAGGGCATCTCATCTTGGCATATATAATGTCCAAGCTTCTGAAGCTGTGCAGGGAGAAACACGAATGTCTGGGTGCCAGTGACTTAGCTTATGATGACTGTGGAGCAAAAGAATTGAACACAATAGCCTAGTTCTCCATGGGATGAACTCTTTTCCTAGGAAGGCGTAATGGGAGCTAGCCCTGACTTTGCTCCTTGTCTGCCACCTGTTTCCTGGAGTGGTTGCCTGGCCCATTCTGCGCAAGAGAAAACGGGGGTGGGGGTGGGGGTGGCGTAAATAGTATACATTATAGTCTATGTAAGTTCTCATAGCAAGTTTCACTTTGCTTGCGGTAAGC